ACAAATTGAACGCATTTTAATTTTTATTGATTTTTATCGATGCACTGTCAATAACATTGTGCGGGAATTAGAGTTGTTTTATTGGCGGACTGAAGTGATTACATTTTGGTTGAATTTCAATATGAACTTTACCATGTTGTTACGGGAGGAGGTTGTATTTTTAGGTTTGTACACCTCTACAGAGCCCATCCCAAATCTTCTAGGGGGGTCGCAACGTTATAAATGCATGGCGTCAGTATACGTAATGTGTCTTTAGACGGTTTCAATTTCAATCCTCTCTTAAACCATTTCTATGCTCAGATATCATACTGTCACAAGAATAAGTAGAAGGGTTTTAAATATCCTTGCACTGACTCATGCAAGTAAGTACCACGATTAAAACGTGTAGACGCGCGTAGAATTGTTGTTGAGAACGTGCCATTAGGAGGTTTGAACTTTCAACACCCGCCTCTTTCGTCTGCTCGACCTATTCCGATAAAACTTTTTCTCGTTTGATTCTCTATCATTAAAAAAAAAAAAAAAAAATGAAATATTTTAACGGCGACAAGTCGACTAGACTCTGAATAGTGACGGGGCTTTGCCGCTCGTGTATTTTTGTTTTTGTTTTTTTTTTTTTATCGCGCCGCTGACCGACCGCTGTCGGTCGTAAAATATGTTTCGGCGACGGACGGAAAACGGTTCGGCGTTTATTTTATAATATACGATGACGGCGGAATGCGACCGCGGTATGATGTACCGATTCGCTCGATAAAATATATTATTTGTACGCGGACGATAAATCAATCTTATTAGGTAGGTATATCTCCGGTATTCGTATATTATGATAACGACGATACCTGTATACGCTATGCACGTTGGAGATGATTAGGTGAAAAAGTCCAGTGTCACGACACGCGCTTATTGCGGCGGACGGAACGACGCGTGGCGGCGATGAGTCAGTGCGAGCACATTATTATATTATTATCATTATTATTATTATTATTATTATTATTATTAATACAATATCTACGGTATAACGACGTGTATATCTGTAGGTACCGGTATATCGTCCGGCCTCACGTCTCCGTAACTCATTGCCCGTCGTAATAAAAATATTTTGACGTTAGCGAATCGTTTTTTCGGCGCGTATACCTGCCGTTATACGCCACCGTACAGCTAGAGGAATACAAATTCTATCCGACCGAAATTCGTACGATTAAAAAAAAAAAAATCGACAAAACGAACGCATTAATTACAGTTATTTACATATAGGCGTGTCTACGGTGGCAGCCCAGGGTGCCTGTGTTGCCCCTGCAATTTTCGAAAGGCGCTAGTCAGCCGGTCAATATGCTCTATATTGACTCGGGCGTATTATCAATTAAATCGGTTTATAAACGAATTGCAATTACGTTTAATGTAATAAACGTTTAATTGAAGAAAAAAAATAGTTTTTTTTTAAATTCGAAAATAAAAGAGGAAAAACGGCTTATATAATCCTGTTAAATAAGCAAAAAAAAAATCTTTAGGTCGATTATCTGTTGACTATTTAGGGTCTACGTACTTTAATTACATGCCATTTCGGTAAAAAATACATTCACTTATATCAAAGTCGTGTTTAAAAAATTGCGTGTAACTAGTTTTTTCTTAGAACTAAGAAGCTAATATAAGCTTAATCATAAATCTCAAATTCTCTTACGTTAATATTACGCATTTAACTATTTTATAATCTTTAAAAACAACTTAATCTCTTTTATTTATCTATTCCTCTTATTATTAATAAAATATGATTATTTTATTATATTTATAAATTAAATATATTTTTTTTTCTTTCTTTCGTTTCATTTTTTTTTTTTTTTTTTACATATATTATTTGTATTTATTGAAATCCATACTCTCAATATCTAACTCAAGCTCAGCTTAAAAGAGATTGATAAAATTGCATTTGTTGAATATATTTTGTAAATTTATGATGATTTAATAAAAAAAAAAAAAAATGTATAAAATTATAAACAATATACATTATACCATTGTTATGTCTTTTAAAACCAAAATGTTTCTATGTGTATGACCATGGCCTCCAGGTGATGCAATATAACATATAAAATCACACTTTACTTAGTTTAAGTAGTGAATAAAATAAATAATGAACAAATTGATTGTTACGGAGAAAAATTCGACATGGACGACCGACGGAAAAAATCAGACTTATAATATTGTACAAAATTAATATTCCGTCGAGGCCTTAGCGAGAAAACTGCAAGTTATTAGTAAATGACTCAGAGAAGTATATTGCGTATCGTTTATGTTTATCGTTCTTGGCCATTGATTAACTGTTGGAACTTAAATAGAAAATAGAAATCGTAATGAAATAATATCGAACACCGATGTACTTTCGATGAATTAGTAACATCGAAATCGGTAAAAATGATTCGATATCGTAAGTACAATGTCGTTGTGCATCATGTTATTACGTAATATACATTTTAATCTAATTTAAAGATTTTCTGTGATTGGTGTGTCAACAATAATTTCACTCTTAATATTGATAAATTCCATATGGTAATAACTTTTTCTGGGGATCGAGTTGTTTTACATTTTCAATCCCTATCCCTTCCTCGGGCTCCGGGACCTGTTAAGGACCTTGGAATTTTCTTCGGTTCAGAACTTAAATATGACTGTCCCATTAACAATATTGTTAACAGATCAAACAAAATCATAGGTTTCATTTATCGTAATTGTTCTGATTTTCATTATAACTTGCGTTAAAATCACCAGTGTGCTGTTTGGTACGATCAATTTGTGAATACGTCTCACTATTATGTTTCCCATATCACCAATCTGGTCTCAAATGCAAACTTGAAAAAATCCAGCAAAAGTTTCGTTTTTCCGTTTAAATGCTCCTAGACTATGTAGGGAATCTCATTCCTCGTTCTCCCCACTTTTATCAATACATTCTAAACCCGGAAACTCTTGAACAGCGTCGTTCACATTTGGACATATACTTTTCGCACACACTTTTGGTCGGAGATATTGACTGTTCTGAGTATTTAGGCCATTTTTATACTCTTAATTGTAACCCTAGGGCGTGCAATAATTTTTATTTGAAAACGTTGGTTTCCACGGTGATGCCATAGTAATACTCCTAAAAATAGAATTATACAAACTATTAATGATATAAAAAAAGATTTGTCCGTTTCACCAAATTACGACTCGTTTAAAACATATTATAATTTTTTAATTGTCAATTCATAGCCATAAGTACGATTATGTGTATTTGTATTTCATGTTTCCACATAATTATTTATGAACTATTGTTTTTGTAAAATATTATGCAATTGAGCCCGTTTTAAACTAAAACTAAATACATTATGCTTTATACAACAATAAAAGTCGAATGTGCCGCAAGTTTTCACACGATTATTGTCGTACGCTATATTTATTTACCCTACGTCTCTAAATATACGTAGAGCGTACGGTATGCCTACCCCCCACGTGCGTTACACCAATGAGATATCGACTTTTGAATATTCAATTGACGTCCTGGAAATCTGGCGCTGACTGCGGCGAGAAACGTGCGTAAAAAAGTCAACGATTTTTCTCGGTACGGATTTAGGGCGTGTAATTACATAAAATATTGTCCGGGAATCCTAAAATATGGCGTTATGATTCACCATCGTTGTTCGAAAAGTGATTTTGCTCGCAGAACACGTACTACGATATTTACGTATTTATTTTCAATTCTTACGGACGGTGTCCAATTTACAATGCAATTACGGCAATAACAAAAATAATGCGGTGCTGTCAACAAAAGTAACGTAAACGTTTTTTTTTTTTGTGAATTTCAAACACAATAGTAAGTTTAGTAGATACGGTAATGTAGGTACGGACACAGGAACGCATTAATGGTACTTACCGCATTTTCATGCTTGTCTATAGGTTTGTCTTCCAATAGGTTGGACCTAAGTAACGAGTTAAAAATGTATGCTGAACTTTTCACTAAAAATCACTGACTTGTGATTATTAACGAGTTACTTTTTTCATCATTCTCGCTGTAGAAAGGGATCAGAATACTCCCGCACGGTGACAAATGGGGTTGCGTTGACAGCCGGTGTAAAATTCTGTCAAAAAGGATTAGGTGTTCTAAAAAAGACTGGTGGATTGTCTCGTTTGAGACATCTGAGTTGGGAAATCCGGTCAAGTACTAGTTTAGGGCGAGGGTGGCTGACCCCAAATAGTTGGGATAAAGGCGAAGGAGAAATAGAAGAGGATATATAATCGTAGTGTTTGGGGTAAACTATCTATTATATATAGTTGCCACGATTAAACGTTTTGTAAAATTGTTATCACCATCACAATACAATACCGGTCGTAAACGGGATGGGCATAGTTAAATGATAATGGACAGAAACCGAAAAATCACAGCAACCATTGCCAACGAAATTAATTTAAAGTTTATATGAAAAATAAAAAACTAAACACAGATTCAGTACAGCATAAATTAAAGATTCGTTTATGCTTGTTCAATCACCATCATTTGAAATTATATACAATAGAATTAATTTTGTTTTCAATATTACGAAATGGCGCATGCTTTTAGATTCGAAGCAATTTAGTGGATAAAAAAAAGTAGAATGTAATTTAGTATTTTTTTTTATTTTTATAAGAGTTTTAATATTTGATTTTGACGGAATTTTAAAAGATGTACAACTGAATTTTGATCTGAATCGAATTTCGTTAGCAATGATTTATCGTTACTTACAGATAAAAATGAAATCACTTCATGTACTTTACCCCGCCAAATTCCCACCTACAGCAGTGATACACCGGTCTCTAGTATCAGCTATTTTAGATTCGGAACGTACTGATGGATCTATTGATACTTAAAATACTTTTTGAATATTTAGCTCAAAAGTATTTAAAAATTATTCTAAACATTCTAAAGTACTTAAATTCATTTACTTAAATGCTTTACAATACTGCCAAAGTATAAGAAAAAAGTAGGAAAAATCAAACATATGGTACAACATTTTTGATTATAAACACATAAAATACGTGTATAATTTAATTATTCAATGTTTATAAATATTGTAGTATACATTCTGATATGGTAAAAATTGGTAAACACTAAATACTACGCCTTCACATAAATGGCATATAATATACTATAATCGTGTTGTTCTGGTAAAATGACTTGTACAATTTTATTTGTATTGCTATTTGATTCAAATTGCAATACTAATTTTGATCTAAACTTGAATGTTCAATTTCTTCGCATCTTCCACATACAACAGTCTATACGTCTTCGTGGGATCATATTTGTCTTCGAGCTGTTTCCAGAGATCGGGTTTCTTTTCGTATAAAAACTTAATGATTTTTTCAGAGCCCTGTTTTTGTTTTTCCGAACATCTTGCACATTTATTTTGTATCCCGTCCAATAAGTTCCCTGAAAAAATTCACGTGTAAAACAATTAATACTATAATATGTACCTATAATTTAGAAAAATTTTGTTATATATTTTGTTTTTCGGTTGTTCTGTAAATCTAAAAACATGTTTTTGAATTTCAACTTTAATACATTATATACCTATCTAATTAAATGTCTTTTTTAGGAGAAAACTCGAAAATTTGGATAGAAGCACATCAAATATTGTTACAACACCCTGTAATATATTGTATAAAATTATTAAATATAGTAGTAATAATCCATACCTATGATTTATTGACCGACAAAAAAAAAAAATGAATTTTAAATGAAAAATCGGTATGTATAGCAGAAATATATTTAAAGAATTGTTATTGTCCTCTGCAAATGAAAAATGTAATATTGTTTTATAATCTTTATTTTTGGTCTATAACCAATCTTTCAATTGGTTGATTTGCATGACTTTCGACAAATTACCACGGGACAGTATGTGACCTATCATATAGTTAACACTTTTTTCCTTACGTCTTCTTAACACTTCTTCATATGTTTTTCTATCATACCACGAAATCATGAGCGTCTTTCGGTGTTTTGTTATAAATATTTTTTTTTAATCCGATACGCTTGACTCAGATAGCCTAATGAATTTCATTCATAGTTCCCATTCGGGAGACTAAAATTGGAATTTATTGGCAAAAATTATACTCTGAATAATATAAGAAATCCTTTTCAAACTTATACAATTATTTACTAAGTATATTGCTTAATTACTTCAGTGTTATATCTAAAAGAATTGTAAATTATTCAAAAAATAATGAAATTAAATTGTACTAAATGTTAGATTCGCGATATACTTATGTATAAGTGCGTGAACGAGTTTTAAAAACTCTACGTTTTAAGTTTAAGTTTAAGTTTAAGCTCACGTTTAAGTTCTTCACCATCCGGTGTACACTTTCCCATGTCCATAAGACATTTGAAGTAGTTGTTCAACAAACGATCGTTTCCCAAAATCTCGTCGATGTTTATGTTGTCGAATCTGGTCGTGTAAGAATCCGGGTTAGCCATAGCTATGGTCGTGGCGACGAAAAGGACAATAGCCAAAGGTTTGATCATTTTTTTAAATTTTGCGGTATGTTTAAACAACTCAAAAAAAAAAAAAAAAACAATATAGGCGTTATCGTTAACGTCTCACTTACAGCTGCGGCGATTAACGAAAACGAATTGTGAGGCAAACGGTGACGGTTTGCGGTTATATAGGTACCGCGATATGGAAGTGAAAATGTTTTTTCCAAGACGTCAAACGATAGGGAAATAATTAGTGTGCTACTCGAACCGAATCCGAATTCAATTTTTTTTCGAATATCCGACTATTATACCTACGTCATTTACTATATTAGGTTTTTAATGAGAGGCCGTTGAATCGGTCATAATGACTAGGCGATACTGGTGTTATTATTTCCATCGAACGACAGTGGTAATTTTTGTTTTCCACCTTGGAAAAATTGTATTAATTGGCCGGTCACACTCCATGCAGATAAAGCGGTTTTAAATCAAACGCCAAATAGGTGCTGGACGGGGCCGGGTTAAAAGCAGCTGCCGCCCGATGAATTTTTAATTACGCTGCTCTTTTCGGAAAAAAATGTTAGTGTTCATTAAAAAACTTGGAGTAATAACATATTAAATTAAAGGAATTAAAAAACAATAAGTAATTACACGGGAAAAAACATATTTAATAACTTATGAACACAAATTTAGGATATTCAACTGAGTTTATAATTGAATTCTACTTAAATTTATACAAATTTATACAATTTATACAATAAATTTATAAACTTAAAACATTCGCGAGAAATGTTTTTAATGCGATATCGTCGATTATATCATCGTGATTTATACCACGAAGCAACTCGGACTCTGCATGTATTATTTATGACGCGTTTAATCTATCAGATTAATCTATCTATCTGACTCCGTTGTTGAGTGAAGATATGATTTTTCACTTTCAAATGCTAAACACGAGTATTGCGATGTTTGGATATAGATTTGTTAGGACATTTGAGTACAACATCTCTACAACGTTCGTGTACATCATTTTTCCCCGCCAGATTAAAAAGAAAAGAGAGGACTACGATACGTAGTTCCATCGTTGAAACTGTATTTGTGAGTGAATCAAATTTATCGTATAAATCTTTATTCGTGAATACTGCTACAACGTATAAGTTCGACAGTCAACATATTCAATATAACGCAGAATATTATATTATTATAACGCATTATTAAGAAATCTTCTGTGCCTGTTGTTGTAATTACTTCAGTAGATACTTGTTTCGTTAATTATACATTTTCTTTTACATAACAGTCCTTCTCTTTCTTTTAAGATTCGGAGCGTTATGGTGTATTTTTTTGTTTATTATTTATTTTTTTTGTTTTTTTTTTTTTTTTTTAGATTCTGAGTGGAGGGAAGAAACTTATAGTTTTCCAAAAATGTTTATTTATTTATTTTTTTTTTATCTATGCGCAACTTTTCTACTAGAATTGGCATGGATAGGTACTTTAAGGATGTTATTTTTGGATTTTCAAAAGAGTTTGTACATCAAATGCGAAAAACTGGGAAAAAATATGAGAAAACCGGGAAAAACGTAGGAAAACCGAGGAAATCGGTACAACATTAAACAAATATTATTAATGAAAATATATATAGCCTATTTAATTATTTTACTATAATATGGCATATAAATTGTTGACAAAGTACCACTGTCAGCTGAACTCCGCTCAGAATGGTTTTTTCGTAAGCAATAGTTAATCGTTGCTACAGATATACATTAAATTTCCTATAACAGTAGCTGCACTTGTTTCATTATCCTAGGACTTCTTTTTTAATATTTAAATAAACGATTTAATATATTCTAACGTTTTTTGAATTATTTATTGCTAATTTTTCGAGACATCTTAAATCAAGATTTTTTTTCTATAAGCATTTTAAGTTTGTAATTCGATATAAATCTTTAAAAACACAGCATTTCGATTTTTGCAGCCAAAACCTTCCATAATTAATATGCTAAAATTTAAATTTATTTTCATTTGGCCATTAATAATTATCAACACAACTTTAAATTCAAGTTCGATTCTGTGAGAAGTATATCAGCTGCATTTTTTTTTTTTATACCCTGACTCGTTTAATTCGATTTCCCTTTCTGCGATCGGCTATATACAATATGTAATGCATAAAAAACAACCAACTTCGTGTTGTGAGAACATTGCGCGATGATAGTTTGCGATTACGCTGAAATTCTAAAAATATTCTTATTAAATCGAAAACAACAAAGAAGAAAAAAAAACGAGACGAACGAAACATTATCGCAGATTAAAATCGCAACGGAAAATATTTATATTTATAGTAGCGATTTATAAAATGCGAAAATAGAACGTCCGAATCATAACGTTCTGACCTCTGAGCGAGCGTTGAACTAAAACAGTTGCAAAATTCAAATTACGCGCGTAAAATGTCAACAAATTTTCAAAAACGCTTGAACTATATAATTAACTATATAATTTATGTTGATCGTAGGTTACATTCAATAGTGAAAAAAAAAGCTGTCCTAGGATAATGGAGACGAGTGCAGCCAATGTTTTAGGTAATTCAATATAAACTTGTAATCAACAATAAACCATTGCTTACGAAAAAATCGATTCTGAGAGGAGTTTTCAGTTGTTAATGATACTTTGTCAACAATTTATTAGATCCCATATTATGGTAAAATAGTTAAATAGGCATGATATATTTTCTTTAGTAGCAATTGTTCAATTTACCGATTTCCTCAGTTTTTTTTTCGGTTTTTCAAGTATGTTGAAAAAATTCTTTAGAAAATCGAAAAATTACCTCTTTAAAGTACCTCTCTAATTCGATTTCCATTTAAAAAAGTTGTGCACAGATAAAAAAAAAACATCTTTGTTAAACCATGAGCTTCTTCGTTCCACTCAGAATCTAAAAAAATTGAGCGTAATGTAATAATTTTAGATTCGGAGTTTAGTTAGGGATCTATTGGTTTCAACCATTATTCAACAATGATGTGCGTATTTTTTCCGATCTATGAACAAATTTTTGAAAAGAAATCTTAATCAGATGTCTAGAGCGTGTAGCATCTTTTCTGAAAGGAAATTTTATCTAGGTGGTGCGTTAAAAAAGTAATTTTTTTGATTATTCGAAGGGTTTTAAAAATAAATGGGAAGAACCAGAAAGAAAATTATGGTTAAAACGGTAAATATTTACAGTACTCTGAGGCATTACCGATTTCATTGTTTTTAATTTGTGCAAACATGTTTTATACCAGATATATTGCTTTAATCGAAAAATGTCCAGAGACCTGTTTTTGATTGATTTTCGATTTAATTGCTTACGAAAAAGTTCGTTTTTTGGTTATTCGAGTAGTTTTATAATAAATGAGAAAATCGGAAAAAGAAGAAAAATGAAAAATGAACAAATTTACGGCGAAAAATTTCATTATTTCAACTTTTACGCACGATTCTTTCAACCAGAAATATTGCCCCAATAGAAAAACAGCCACACATTTTTTATTGAATTTTTAACCTTTTTGTTGACCTAGAAAATCGATTTTTAATTTTGTTTCTAGATTTTAATAATAATTTAGAAAACCCGAAAAAAAAGCGTAGAAACAACGGTGAAATTTAGAAAAATAATTCTTTTATTATTTTCAATTTTATTTTTCTTATTGTAATTCAGTTCTAATATTCGTAGTAGCCAGACATTTTTATTTAAAATATATTTTTTGGATGGATTCTAGAATCTTCAAAACATTAAGGTCATTTTTAAGCTATTTAAAGGCATTATAATTTTTCGAATTTTTAAAAATTTTTAGACTTAACAAAAATGCTTGAAAATTTGACAAAAATTTCATTATTAGTCAAACTTTGTGTTAAAAAAAAATTGAGTGTTATTTAGTATTTTTTTTTTTTTTTTTTTATGTACCTAATAAAATCATATTTTAAAAAAATCGTAAACATTACTCCCAAAATATGTATAACCAACCTTTGTTCCAAATTATTTTTCGTTAGCAATAATTAATCGTTGCTTACAGGTGTAAATTAAATACTTTTATGTATCCTATATTTTCCCTACTTTTTACCTACAACAGTTGCGCGCCCGTCTCCAGTATTAACTCAATGTTTTTTTTGATAAGTTAAAATGTCTAGACCATAGACACCGTGGCATTTCGAAACGTACTTAATCGATTATTTTATAAATCGAAATGATTTTTGAAAGCAATCATTACTATATACATTTATTATTTTCAATTTTTTTTTTTTTTATTTTCGTTTTTTGAAAATTTACAAAAAATTTATATTTATACAGTCGTGTACTTAATATTTATTATTTAATTATTTAACGCCCAGTCCGAATTTTCGTGTTACTGAGTCGTACGACTTTCTTATATTCCGATCCCACACACACACTGCAGGATTTATTATTGTATCTAGCAGTGTTTCTTAACCCTTATGTCGTGACCGAAAATCGGGTCACAGATACAATAATAATTATATGATCCATAACGCTTGCTTTTCGCTTGAAGACTATAATATATAAGAACACAATAGTATAAAAATTCTGTAATATAGTTGAAAAAAAAAAAAAATGTACCTAAGTATCTATTATATCCAAGGCCCGGAAATATATGCACTACAAACGTACGAAATATGCATGCAATTATACGAACCGTAGGTATGTGTGGGTAAAACCAACGAATAATAGTAAATTAAATGGGTATGGAACTATGAAACACTTAGCCACTCAGAGGTATTCGACCATAATGCAATGCAAAATCGTAAAATACAGAAATATGCAGTACACATAAAAAAAAATGGCAAAATACTCAAAACGAAACTTTGTATTTCGAATATATCTATTGACTATAATTCAATTGTGGCTTATCCAGCTACATTTTGTACTGTTGAAAAAAAGAATTGTGCAAATTCGTATAAATCCGGGCCCTAATAATAGCCTATTTTTGACGTATCGTTCAAAAAATGCATACTCGCAACACATATACAACGAAAATCTATATCATTATGTCAAGTTGCGGATTTTCAACATTTTTTCTGATGGAGGTCTTGAAAAATCGTAGATATTTCAATAGGGTCGATGTCTGTTTTTCAAAAGACATTTTATTTGAGGAGGTTCAGACTATCTGCCCCTCC